CGGAATGATCTGGTATTGTAAATTTATTTTTTTATATGTTGCACACCGTGTGAAAAATCTGTCGTATAACATCAACGGTCTTACCTGTAATTTCAAGTCACGCTCCATAGTACGAACTACGCCCCAAACCACGGTTTACGGTTTCAACGATCAAGCGCTCTGTCCTACCATGATAACAAATGCGCAGCTCAGGGCCGATGATTTTCTGCGGTGTTAAAAAAAAAATTCTGTGCATATAAAAATGATGTGATGTGAGCGATTTTTGAGGATTATGTGCAATTATGCGGTGCAAAATGACTAATTATGTGCAATTATGCGGTGCAAAATGACTAATTATGTGCTAAAATGTGCCTAAATTTGTGCAAACTTTATCGACAAACCACATGTTTCCGAAATTTTCCGACCAACACGTTCGTAATTCATGTTTATTAATTGTCCACTTTCCGAGAGTTACCGATGCTGGCCTAAATTAAATTACCCACTTTCTAAAATCAGTATTTATTTTGATTTCTGTGGTTAAATTATGTGATCTTTCTATATAATTCACTATTTTCTGTGGTATTCTGCGGTGATATAAACAAATTCTGTGATATAAGCCTATTTCTGTGAATTCTGAGGTATTATGTGAAACACAGAAAATCATCGGCCCTGGCGCAGCTTTATTTACTATCATTGTATCCATAATAGGCAAAAATGAGATAATCGCGTCATTTGAGATACGTAAGGGTTCTTAGGAATAAGACCGTTTGATTAGCTAATACAGTAATAATTTCTATATATTTAATTTTACATTATTTATGCAGTTTAAAGGACTTTTTAAATAAAGATAAAATAAAGACTACGGATAGTAAAGAAAAATCAGTAATGTAGAAAGTTTTATAAAATTCATAGGACCTATACAAAAAATAAAGTTCTTTAACCCTCATTCGTTTAAAAAAAAGATAATATGAATTTTCAGAAGTAAGTTACTACTAAGCTAGCTTTTCATCAAAGGATTAAACTGTATAATAAAGTAAATTAAATAAAAATTATTAGCCATCAAACGATCTTCCTCCTATAAATAAATTTAAGCATGACTATCTTATAAGTCTGCTGATATGAGATGCGCTCTACTCGGTGCGTGCATGGGCGTCATTTCGGAATCATGCATACTATTTTAAAAGATCCAATTTCGAAACAACGCACATGTCTATTCTTTGGCGACTACTGTTTACTCTAGAATCATTATAGTAATTATTTGCTTTATTATAATGATAATCAAGTGGACCTTGTTTTATACTGGTTTTACAATCAAAGATTTACAATCAGGAGTATGAAATTATCTTTCCAGCAGAAGTAGACTTTTTCCGATTGGCTTTGTGATGAATATATACATATAGGTAAAGGTACAGACATATGTCTTCATTAATTATGATCTAATTTAAAAACCAGGTTGATATATAAATTCAGAAGCTACGACTTTATTACGTAAGTATATCTCGATTTGTTTCCAATCACCTCCAAAAAAAGTTATTTCATGATAATATACATATATGTACAGATGTATTACATATGTATTACAACTTTTTTTAAACCTAGTTTATTGAAATTACTCGGTTTGTGGTAAAAGTCAAACTTTATTATGACAATTCTCAGATACTTGTTCCACAAATATGTAGATATGTCAATGCAATAATTTTTTTTAATAATATTCGTTCCACTTCAAGTTTCTTTTCTGAATATATATATATATATATATAAAGATCCTTATTAAACTTACTTGGTTTGCTATTTATAAACTAAGTTTAAAGAACTTCCACTTGTAAGTCGAACCAATGGACGAGTATCAATCAATGGACGTGTATTCATTATTAGATCCTATGTTTTATTCTTCATTATTGAAGAATAAAACTTATCAAAATACCAAGGTGAGATTAGAATTGTTTTCCAGTTATGATTAAAATGTATTCATTCGCTTTTTTGGGGGGTTTAACATAATCTTGTTAGAGTAATATCAAAAATGAAAAATGTTATTACATCTCAACGCCTCGACCTGAAGACCGTGTCATTATTAATGGTCAGCTAGTTACATGGGATTGTCCTATCGGGTAACTAGTCAAGTAGCATTATTTTTGTAATTTTCATTATTACAGCTTTTTTTGTCTCTCATTTTATAGTTATTTTTGTCCTAATAAAAGAGATAAATTTAAATGTTCGCCTGGTTTCTTTTGCCCTGAAAATTCTGGTTAGTTGTTCTATACTTAACAAATTACAAAAAAATCCACATTAAGCTTTTTTTATAATAACAATAGCACAACCCGTATATTGTTGCGAGGGTTATTATTGCTCTGAAAATGCAAAAAACATTTTTTTGTGTCCCGAAGGTAAATCCATAAATACAAAATAATTCTGATTTTCAACAAATTCTCATCATATTATTATATTTTAGGTTCTTTCTGTACTGCCGGAACTACTGATCCAATATCTTGTAACTTCCTTGCAAATTGTCCTCCAGGATCAATAAAGCCAAATAAATTCATGGTCTCAGTATTAGTACTAATTTTTATAATAGTCATATTTATTTTTTTTCATTATAAAAAATTAACTGATAATTCGGATAAAGTGAAATATTATGAAAGTTTAAGACGATTAGATTTAGTATTAGAGATTGATAATGGTGGGACACCTCGAAGAAACACATATGTTCGTGATCCAAGAAGATTTCTTGAAAAGAATAGATATTTTTTATGGGCATTACGAAATGGTAGAGAAGAAATACAACCCAGAAAATCCTTAGCTAGAGGTGCAAGAACTTTTGATATAGATATAGAGTTTGAGAATTTAACACTAGAATTACCGAATGGTAATTTGGCTTTGAAAGTAAGTATAATATATGTGCGTTTTTCTACAATCACGATAAATTTTTAAATAAATTTATAGTTTTTTTGATTTAATAATACTTTTTTGTTCAAGGGTGTTTCTGGAGAATTTAGGCATGGGAGAACTTGTGCGGTCATGGGTCCATCAGGTTTTTATTAAATATCTTGATCAAAATATTGTATTCAATTAAGATTTAGAGTCATTATCCAATTTATATTAAATAGGTTCTGGTAAAAGTACTTTATTATCACTCTTGACTGGAAAAATTGCGAAAAAAAGCGGTGTTGTGAAAAGTTAAATAGTTACATTTATTATTTATAAATTAGTTATTGTTATTCATATATTTACTTATATAATTATTCAGTTATTACAGAAAACGATACTGTAGGATCGTTGAAAAAATACAAAAAACTTATTGGCTTTGTTCCACAAGAAGGTTGTTTACTTGAATGCCTATAATCATTATTGATTTATTGATATTCAACGCGTTAAAGCAAATTATCAAATTTACTTTTATAGATATAATGCTTCGTGAGTTGACAGTACGAGAAATTTTGGTGGTAAGTTGACAAAATCGTACGTGATATATTAACACTTGTCTATTGCACATAATAGTCAAATCCAACACCCTGTCAAAATCGGGATAGTTCTTTTTTTCATTAATTCATTATAAACATTTCTTTTTTTTTGAAAAAAAAATAGCATTCAGCGCTAATGCGTTTACCAAGCAACATGGCACTAGAGGACAAAAGACTAAAAGTCATGGAAGTAATTAGTTTTTTAAAACTGGATGGAGTGATGGACTGTAAAATCGGGAATGAAGGTACAGTATATGTCTAATGAAGTACAACTAGTAACATACAGTACATTATATTAAAAAGCAATATAATACTGAATAGAGCAACGTGGCATTTCTGGTGGGGAACGTAAACGTGTAAATATTGGAATGGAATTAGTTGCTGAACCATCTGTACTTTTCTTGGTAATTTTTTTTTAAAAAAAATTTTTATCAATGAATTTTGTTTATTCAATTTGTTTTTTGTCAGATATTTATAATTTATATATATTTTAGGATGAACCAACTTCGGGTCTTGACTCAAATATGTCATTAGAAATATGTTCAATGTTGAAATATATTGCAGAGAAACAAAATATAACAGTTGTCGCTGTTATCCATTCACCATCTCAACAAGTACTTAATACTTTTGATGATATTTTGTTATTAAACAATAAAGGGCAATCTATATATTTTGGGGATACAAAGAGTGTAATAAGAAATTTTAATAATCGGTCTCCTAGTATAAGAGATTTAGACGAAAGGTATCATTTTTATTCTCTGCAGTATTGAAATTGAAAAAGATTTTTCAATTATTAAACTTATTTCTTAATCTGAATTTAGTCCCGCAGACTTTATATTAAAAATTGCATCTGGAAGAGTAAACACCAGAGCACCAACGTGCGAGACACCACCACAATCAAGAAGTACATTCCTTCGTGCAATTAGAGGTCCATTCATTTATATAATAGATGTGACATCAGAACTCTTTTCATTTTTTAAAAGCTTTTTATTAGCTTTTTTCTGCCAAAATGATAGGATTCGTAATACCCCAAATGCAATTTATGCATTTAAATTATTATATGAAAGGGCTTATTCACAAACATATAAATGTCGAATTCGATTTTTATCTGATCAATTGTTACATCTTTTCTGCGGTGTTTTTGTTTCATTTGCTATTACTAACTCTGAATATTTGGGAAGAACACCAAAAGAAATCTGTTTAATTACACCATACGTTCTCAAGAGCTCTTGCTTGATCCCTTTCGACCTTATCCAGGTTCAAAACTAATTAACATATAAATATACTTTAATGATTATCATCAATGTTATTTTCATAATTTATCTCTTATGTCTTTGTTTAGGATGTTGGAGCATTCGTGACCCTTGGTGTAACATTTGCTGGAATAAGTGGTATGTTAAAAGCTTCGCTTCGGTTTATGTTCATTTGTATTAATAATAATTTTAATTTTTAGCTGGATGCACAACATTCGGTTATGAAATGGTAGTTTACTGGCGTGATACTTCGGCCGGAATGAAAACGATCCCATATTTTTTAGCAAAAGTCATAATAGATATACCTCGTATACTTATAGCAGCTTTGATGTTCACATTATCACTTATAGTATTTTACCCATTTCAAGTAGTTTATCATGAGTTGTATCTTATCATTCTTTTAAATTATACTTCAGCATGGATGATGGGTATGTGAGAAATGTCAATTTTTATTTTAAATTTTGAGTGATCAAAAAAAAAAAAAAAGATTTATTTATTTATTTATTTTGTGAACAGGTTATTTTATATCAATTGTAACTCCAAAAGAAAAGTTTGGATTGGTTGGTACAGGAATAGCACTTGCTTGGGGTTTAGTTTTAAGCGGTGAATCTCCTAAATTAGAAGAGGTTGATAGTAATGATAGCTATAAACCTTTAAAGTGGCTGTGGGATGTAAGTACGAAAATTTGTGACTATTTTAACAAATTCCTTTTGAATATAGATTAAATAATTCTGTATAAAAAAAAAAAAACATTATTATTGCAGATTTCGGCACAAAGATGGACTGTTGAAGCATTATATCTTAGAGAATTATCATCAAGATTGTATGTAACTTTCTTAAGTTTTTTTTCTTTTTTTGATTGTAAAAAAATATTTATCGCCATATTTTTTTTTCTCTTTTATAACAGATGGGATGAAATTAAAAATGAAGAATTAAGGCATACTTATAGTTTTGATGATTATCCAAAATGTTTATGGTATATTTTATATATTTCATTTGGATGGGCTATACTCTCATTTCTCGCGTTAAAATTAACAAATAGAGATAAGCATAAATAAAAAATTAAAGTTGAATATATTTGAAATTAAATCATTAAAATATTTTATTTCAAATTTTTGCTACTTCTAATAACTTACTAATAAAAACCATATTATCGTGGGAGAGAAAATATGTGATGCCCAGTTTAAAATTCTTCATAATATAAAGTAACTTTCTCTTGATCAGTTAATTTATATAATTGAATTTTATACGCCTTTATAACTTCTGTAGTTAATTTTTTTTTTTTTTTTACAGCTGTTTTCATTATTTTTGAGACATCCAAAAAATTTTTGACGGTCGAATCGATGAGTTACCGAATCGGGATCAATAAGTTACAGACGTCGGCCGGCATCAAAAACTTATCGATCCGGTCATCCCCAATTTTTCAAATGTCCCCAAAATAATGTAAACAACTGTAAAAAAAAAAAAAATGCAAACCCATTTTACAACTGCTTTCATAATTCCTCGAACACCTGAAAAGATTTTTCAAATAATTTTTCGGCCAATTCGTTAGTGATTTATATTACATAATATGGGGCGTCATAGCATAGTGAGATTAATGATAATTTTTTAAAAAAATGTTACACGAAAAGATAAAAAATTAAGCACGTCTGCAAGGCCGATGATTTTTTGCGGTGATAAGTTGGTTGTAATAGAAACTTCGAATGTTCTGGCACCCAGAAAATGTGTACCAGGTTGGGTTCGGATGATGGTCCGGATGATGTCCGGAAATGTCTTCAAATTATTAATTTTTTTCTTCAAAATTTTGAAAAAAGTTTTTTACTATATTCATTATCCGGGTGAACTTTTTTAAATTTTTGTAAAAAAAATTTTATCTGTTTTATATAAAATTTTTGAAAATAAAATTAAAAGCCGGTCATTTTTAAATTTTATGTTATGAGAACCAAAAAAATTAATTTTATATGGCCTTAGACTTTATTTTTCAATTATAACGATACTATAAAGCGATTACAATACATATCTAATGCAATGAATAATACAAATAAACATGAATTTCGACATTTAAGTTAATAGTTTGTTTCTTTTTAACCTTCTGGTTTGTTTTCTGTGGCGTTCTTCGATTTATGTGCTCTATGCAGTTTAATCATTTTTTTTCATTTCAGCCTTATCAAAATTTTCTTTCTGAATATTCGTTGACTGTGATAAAATTTGGTGAAATAGATATGTCTATCGATAGAGATTTAGATTTTTCGTATCCTTCTTGAAAAATTCAATGTTGGCTATTATTCTTAACTTATTAATGAAATGTTGAAAAACTTTTCAAAAGATATATTATATTTTATTAAATATTCTTTGACACATAGTTATTAAATAAATTCTGAATCATTATTAATTAAAAAAAAATTTAAAATACCTCTTTTTTAAACGCCGAACATTGCATATTTTCACATTTGGCCATTATAGTTTCAACTTGTGACTCATAAGGACGAAAGTATTTGGCGAAGTGACTTAGGTAGATTTGATCTATTCTATGATTTTGTTTAACTAAGTTCTAATGTGATGGTTTCTTGCTTGTAATTAACGAAATAATGCTTACAATATTAAAATACATGCTTATAACAGAAATTGCGTCGCTTTTTTTTTTTTTTTTGCAGGAAAAAAAAACAATCGAAAACATTATTGACTTATGATAATTTAAATAACGATAAACTAATTTTATTTTATCAACAATATGACGTACGTACATAATTTTTGTTCCTAGTTCCATATCGTTCCGACCTAACATTCCGGAAGCAATTTGTGGTGCATCTGCAGTTTATCTGACAATAGAAAATGATGTTTTACCTTCTTTCGATAATGTAAGAGAAATGATAGACCGTGCGGTAAAATAGTATCTGTTGAAGATAGATGATGTTGAACGAAAGGGAAAAGTGATGGAAGTATTGTCTCAGGTTAGTAAAAAGAAGTTTTACAATTATTATATTTAATGATGATTCTATGATAAATGCAAACATTTAGTTTTGGCATGTCATAGCTAAAGGTTGGGGAATGCCGGCCCGGAAGAGCTATGTCTTCTAGATGTAGAGGGTTTCTGCTCCTCTCTAACTGTGCGTGACTATCCAGCCAAGACAATGATATATTGAAATTTCTGAAAACGCACATGTGCGGGAGTGGGATGTAATTTATGATTTCGAAATTAACTAAATGTATCGGTATATATTATTGCATTTACCATAGGCCGAGAGTGGATATATTAGTATTCAAGGTCTTAAGTCTTTTAAAGCATTGAATATAGAGAAGGAATCATCTCCAGATGATTTTCGAAAAGAAATAATAAGAATATTAAGAGATTAAAATTTAAGCTTGAAGTAAGTAAAAGTAGTTTAAAGTAATTTGAAGTATCTTAGATGAAAGCTAATAAAATTATATGCTGTATTTAGCATCCTGTATCAGTAGAAGATGTAAGTCTTTATGGCTCACTCAGACAAAACTCTTGAAAATGAGAATTTATCGAACCTGACATGGCGGGATCCTGAGGCGAGCATGGTTATTAGTGATAATTCATTTATATTAAAAGACTTGGATCGAAGACAGAAAAAAACTTTTCTAAAACCTCAAGAAAACATGAAATGTGTTATACCTGATTCCATTGTGACAAAATGTGATGAATTTACAAGTAATTTTAACAATTCGAATACTTGGTGGGTTATGAGAAACATTTGTCACAATAAAAGATGGAAAGAAGATGAGAACACATTAATAAAAATAACTAACCGTATTTTTGGAACGCTATAAGTAATTTTCTCTTACCCAACAATAGTGCAATAGTGTATAGATTTTTTTTCTCATTTTTAATACTTTTTAGCGGAGATATATGGAATAATCCCGCATTTAAGACGAGCACATCTCGCAATGAACAAAGCGAAGGGACGTATGTCACAGACGTTATAATTCCTTTGCTCCGTTCGTGTTTAGGAGATCTACCAAATGGCGATATTTGCTTAAGTACAGCAGAGCGCCAGAGTCTAGCAAGTAAGGCTAGACGGAATGTCAATATAGATGAAGAGCGAATGGGGAAAAAGCCTGACGTCATGGGATTGTTGGAACAGGGTGGAAAAATACTAGAACTATTATATGTTGAGTCTTCACGTATCATATGTGATGATTCAAAAAAAGTGAATGATGACGTGAAATTATGGAGAGAAACCCTAGATGGAGCAAGTTTTGTAGGTGCATCATGTAGACCAATCGGTAACCAATTTGGGGTTGTGGGGATTCAGGTTGCTGGCACAGATATGCGTCTCAACATTCTCGTATAGGATCTTGGTGGGATTCCAAGATATTTCCACCTAGATCATTCCGAAATCCCATTAGCACCTCACAAGTTTCACACTAGATCTTTAGTTCGTTTAATATTAACCTTAGGAAATATTATTATAGTAAACAAAAGCTTGTTAGTGCAAGCACTAGAGCAGACTATTACTCATCCACCTTACCGTCTCATCACCACAGGGAAGAACCTGGATCTAGAAAAAATAGCCAAACCAGAAGGTTAACCAAAAAACAACGCGCATATTCTTAGAATGCATCTATCTATCTTTTATTTTTTATACCAATAAAGCTGGCTGTGATGGCTCGATTTCCCATACAAATCAGTTTACTTTTGCAGGGGTCGTCTAAAGCGGATCAGAATCACGTGATATCTGATCAATAAAATTATAGAATTTTATGATCGCTGGCGAAGCAAAACAAGAAAAAAAAGCGGAACCCCTGAAAAATACAAAAAATGGCAGTCTAAAATAACCCCTCCAAAAAAATAACCATGATTTTCATACTTGTAAATTCACTTTGCTATTCGGTATATAACAACAAAAGCTTGATAACTTTCAGTTTACAGCTGTTTTCATAAATTCTGGGACTCCCTAAAAAAATTTGCCGAAGTCTATTCGGCCGAAGTCGATAAGTCATTGATTTCGGTATGATCAGTATAATAAAATAATTAAGAAAACTTATTTTTGGATCATAATGATCATTTTACGATGTCATAACAATAATGTTAACGATTTTAAATTTTCGTTCGAATACTTGTCCAACATGTTTGGTACGTTTAGTTTGTACGAGAATTTATGGAAAAAAACCGTTCATGTCAACCAATAAACCTTAACAAGAAATGTAAAAAGGAATCGAATATAAACTAGACTTTTATAATAAATATA